AGTTTTCATTCAGTGTACATGTAGTTAAACCACAACAGATGTGGAACCAGTCATTTCAAGAAAAAGAGAGCAACGTCTGATAAACCCAGGCAGATCTAAAGACATACTGGCAGGTACCGTTACTGGTCTGTTAAATGAAGCGCCGTTCGTGTGAATTTGACCCCTGCCGTGATGACTACGTTTCATTTTAATCACAGTTCTGATCCACCTGCAAACACTTTCCGTCCCTGCCTTTCCCACTTCGGACAAATTCTCTGCCGTGGGCCTGGATTCGTCTTCCCGATCTGAAATCAAAAGCCTCGATTGTCCTGAATGTCCCATAAAGACATGAAAGTCTATACTCAAATATTTTGCAGGTGTACCATTACAGTTCATGCTGCAGCAATTTTTTCTTAAGCGAAAAACTTTGAAAATTACAAGGTAAAACTCAGGTTTAACCGCAAACAAAGACAACCCTCAAATTTCCGGGTAAAATTGTGAGTTCTGCAGTGTCGTGGTTAAGGGAAACAGTCACACACGTGCACTCATTATGCAAAACACAAATACGTAAGTTTCATGGTTCACTCAATGAACCTATTTTATAGTCCGTTTATCTACTTTCAAAAGAAGTTATTCTTAAACACTAAGGAGAGTGTTTCTTACACGGACGCTGCTTGACACCCTGTGTGCACATACCCTATAATTTTCATAAGACTGGTCTGCCGTGAAAAATACGTGAATACATCAATACAGTATTTTTCAGTGCTAAATTTGACACTTTTGGTCATATATTGATTTCAGATCGTTAATAGGTGACTGTAGACAAAAAGTAGTGACGTGTGTATATGAAATTCTTTCCAAAATGGCATAGGCATATTAAAGAACACGTTACTGGTATACATGTACAGTATTCTGTCAATACTTAAATGAAACGTGCTATGCCATGCCTATACCATTATTTCAAATAACGAGGAACACAAGTTCTGCAAATAAAATGCCGGCCTTATCCGGGATAAATGAGACAAGGAAATTTTAATTCCGTTAGAAGTAAAAGGCTAAATGATGTCTGATTCGATCCCTTGCAGGTAGTGACTCCGTCTTAAATACTCCCATGCCGCTTCTCGTTCCCTTGCTTTTGCCAGTTGGCGGCGGGCTTCGGCGCCGAGTCTGACAGGCTTTGCAACAGCGGGCAAAGCACCGTCTCGTGCCATACCCACAACGGGCCGTAACTCGCCCTTCTCCCGACCGAATGATTCGCACAGGACGCTGGTGCTTCCTCTCCGCCTGGAGAGGTAGCTGTGCGACGGTGATGTGTCCGGGGCGGGCTTCCCGCCAGGTTTGGGTTCTTGGTTGTTCACGAGGCTACTGTTTTCGAAGGTGGAGGTGTGAATCTTCTTGTACTGGCCGATGTCTTCCACCACAGCTATGGACCTGCGTCTCTGAGTGAGATAAGATTGGGGCGGGAGACGAGGTGGTGGAAACACATCCCCAGCCTCTCGTGCGTGTCTCCCAACACTTTTACCAATGACTTGCGACGATGAACCTTCATCAGTAATCATCTGGGATTTGGGTTGCTGGTAAGTGTACTGCCATGTTTCAGATGAACTTAAGTTTTGGTGTGAGTTGATTTTCAATGACTCCCGTCCGCTACCAGATGTTAATGTTGCTTGTGACCCTTTCGTTGACGAAGACAATACTACTCCCAGACTATCGTTTGATGCACTGTACGAGCTCTTTGTTCCACACGATGAGTTATCCGATCCGATAGATGCTCCGGAGTCCTCCTGCTCGCTGTCGTCCGTCTTTGGGGAGTTCAGCTCTCGTACCGGGGTCATTATCTTGACATGGAGGTTCTTCCGTGGACTGCCACTTCTCCTGCGCATCGCCAGGGCACTAGGCAGCGGTCCGGAGGCATAGTTTGCGTCACCAACCTCAAAAAGGGATCTCGCTTTCCCAGTGCTTGGGCACCGACTTAATGCGGGCTGAGTTTCAAGCTTGTCATTTTTGTCTTCGTATTTGAAAACAAAGACGGCATTTCTCCTGGCGTTGCTGTGGTTACCGTGTACAGTTGCAGTCTCTTTGGGAGCATGGGTTTTCTCCAAGGCTTTGTTTTCAACGTTATTACACCCAATGATGTTTTGTCTGTTAACATTCACGTCAGTCTGACATCCCTCTGGGACGGGATTGGAAGTCTCGCTGAGCAAGGAAGCCCTCATCGACATATTAGCGTCCACACTTCCGCGTCGTCCTGACTTGCATTTGGGATCGTGCTTTGGGACCAGTTTCGTTATCTGGGAGGTTAAAGCACCTGAGTTCAGTGAATGCCGCCGTGTAATGCTGCACCTCGATCCTCGGCTGCTCGATGAATTGCCCCTAGCTTCATCGGTGGTCATCCCTGCGGCTGGTAGAGCCCTTGTCCTTACACCTGCAAAGGTGCCGAATGACTTCGCGAGCTTCAGTTCACTTCTCTCGAGTTCGACCTGCCTTTTCCGGTGGTCAGCTTCGAGGAGTGCCTTTTGTTTGACAAGGTGTTGCTCGGCGCACTGGAGAGAGACTTTCACATCACGGCGGTTGGTCCCAGGACCCGGTCTTATCTTCGGTAGACTCATGGTGAACGCACTGTTCCGCGCGTACAAGCAGCGAAGAGGGTCCCTCAGGACAAATTATAAACCTGCGACAATATATTCCACAATCAAGGGAAAATACCTGCCAGGCCTGGCATCCTACCACTGTCCTCCCGGGACGAAGTTGCCTTTGTGTTGGTCACGTCCGGGTCTCACCCGGATCTGCTCCAACCTCCCGACAAAAATACCAGAGCGGGATTACCCGCAGACTCCCTGACAAACACAACATGTCCTCATTATCATCTGACTCTGGCCTCTTCAGCCAACAATGAAACCACTCGAGTATGAAAAAGTGACGCTAGCAATTATTGTTGGTGGGTTCGTTGGCATGTCTCCGAGAAAAGCACACCTTTAGGTTTCACGTATGGGTGTGTACTAAAAAAAAGGTAACATGTGGCTTAAAAAAGCATCTATGAAACAAAGCGAAAACCCCTGACCTGTGGTGGATTGAAGGCTTGAAGCGTATAAAAAAGTAGTTGTGGACCAAAATAATCCTCACCTGTTTAAAAAATTCTCCATTTTTGTCCCCTATATGTAGTGAACAGACAACAGAAAACTTCACAAGAGAGGACATCTTAATCCTACTGAATTTTCCTGTATTTGATAATTCCTCTCTCATGCACGTACATGTATAATATCAATGTAATTGGTTTAACTCCTATAGCAGAATGCTTAATTATATTTCAGGAAATTATGCGGGAAAATAAAATACCACAGTCAGGACAACTCGGGTTTTGGATGCTGCGACCCGGATTTATTAGTTTTGATTTCTTCTTTTCCTAAGCGGGTTTATCCGATTTAAGGAATGAGGTTTACGTTCTCTGTCTGAAAAATAATTGCGCGGTCAAGTGGAACATCGGACATAAAAATTGCAAAGCGCTGGTATGTATGTGCACATGTACATGTACGTGTAGGTATACAATAATTCTGGGCATTACCGTCTTCATCATTTTCAGCTTTGACAATAGCACCATTTATTTGGTCGGTTTATGTTCGGGCTAAATGAAAAGACACGTCTTCGTGAAGTTCGTGCAGACTGTCATATTCTCTTGCAGCAAAAGACCAACTGAACTTGAGTTCAAGAAGCAGTCATCATGAAAATCAGTACATAATAAATCCAATACATAAAAATTGTTTGGGTTTGCTAATCTCACAAATATTTGAACGAAGTTATGCAATGCTACCATTAATTAACCTGAATACAAAGCAAAGAAGGCAAGATTTGGAAAATACAAAAGCCCTGGAGTTCCATCAAAAAGCTTGTCGCCCTGCGCCGCGTTGTGGCGCTGGGAAGGGTTGATGGCCTTGCACAGATTTTAGCGAAGGAAATATGTCACACGGAGTCACAGCCAACGACGCGCACAGCATTCTGGGTAAATTTCTGCCAAGAGCGCGAGCTCGCTCATTGCGTTACACAAACAGCAGTTATCAATTCAATTTTTTTTTCTTTTTTCCCCTTATTGCTGAAAATATTCTCACTATAATTCATTCGTTCATTCAAAATTGATCAAGATAACCATTGATTTAAAATATCGCCAAAAGATACGTGCTCAGTGATATTTAGTGAGAAGATAAATTACCACACTGTGATTGTACAAAGGCCATGTTATAGCCCACACTTTACCTTAATACTAAAGCATTGCTATTGGCGAACCGTATTTAAATAACTCTTTGCTAACAGCAAGTGATAATCTCACGGTCGGAGGTCATGTACAACGTAGCCAATCACCAGTGCAAAGCCATCAGCCCTTCCCAGCGCCCTGTTCGGGTGCTGGGCGACGAGCGAATTTTTCGAAATGTGGTGTGTTTTTTCGAAGTTTTTTATGAAGTACATTTTATTTAATCTTCATGTTTACGAGATGTTATTATTTCCAAAGTTCATTGGTACAAGATACATGTTTTCCAATTTGTTTTGAAGAGATGTTTTTATCACTTCTTTGTGAGATATTAGTGAGATTTATTTCTCGAGTTAATTATTAAGTTTAATATACACTGTTCAAGTTAAATTTTCATATCTCAGAAAATACTTCAAAATATCTCATGAAAACACTTCTAAGTTTCACTTTTTGTAATTTGTTTCAAGCAACGAGTGGGGTTTAGTTCTTTCGTTTAAATTTGTTTGTCTAGAAAGTGATCTCATTGGAATAAAAAATTAAACAAGAAGTTTCAAAACCTCAAATGCACATTTTCCAGCAGTAAAATATCTCATATAAACAAAGTACACACAAATTAAAAGTGTCTTAACTTTTTTGAGTAGTGTATGTACTTGATGGCACAAACGGGCTTTCGTAGGAAAAGCTCTACACATTTTTATGTAAGGTTGCCTCCAAATAATTATGTTGTCTAGGGCTACGTTAGGTTTTTTGCTTGTTGGAATTATGCGCGGTCACGCTGACAATAGACGTAGCTATAGCCCTGAATGCTATTTTGGCCACGGCTATGCATACGTGGACCGTGCCCTCATCTCGAGATTGAAACCCAGGCACAGCCCACGACGACTTTAACACTCTTGCATTCCGGTGACGGAGAGCAGACTAGTTCTATGGACAACGCGTGGCATCGGACCGGACTATCGGAATATCATCGCACGTCCTATGGGATTAAACTCACAAAACGTTACGAATTCCGAGTTAATGCACGATAGGAAGCTTTAAAGTATCCAGTGAAACTCTTGACTTCAAACAAACTGCACTGTAATGTCGGAAGCTAGTCCTGCAGGGGAAGGGTGAGTAACTGGGGCTAGTGTTTTTGGAGATGAGAACAATCATTACAGTTAATCACTTGCGATTTCATCATTCATGCAGAAAATATGAAAGAAACATCACACCGACTCAACTTACTTACCGACAAACTTCTCCAAGATTTCTTGAGGCTAAGTAAGAGCTGTGATGAGGTCCTCAGTATTTCCCTCTCGGTATGAGCGCTGTTTGAAGTCTCCGTTCAGTTCCAAGGGAGACTTTTCTTCGGCATTTTGTACCCAAGCAGCCTGAGACTAGTGAGAGTGCAGCTTGTCATTGTGAGCTGAACTAGACTGGTACCTGGGTACATGCACATGAAAATGATGAAGGCATGGTAGGCCCAATGCCCAAACCGGCCCAGCCGTTTCAAGGGTCAAGTTGGCTGATCGGCCACCAGTGTGAAAATGGAAACAAGTCACCTAATATTTCTTTTGACACAGTTAATTGAGGCAGAAGGGAAAGAGTTTAGGATGGCATTCATCCAGTTTATTTTTCTGTCATGTCTGCATACTTAGTAGGCCTTACTTGGCCTAGGCTTACAAATTGTCATGATTGTAATGTTTTCATTTTCGAGCATTTATGCTTGAAAAGTTAAGGTTTGGGTCTGCCATACTGTGATGCTGCCAATTTATAGCATGGCACTATCAAAACTTTTATCTCCATGTTTATAGTCACGTACCTCAGACTATGATGAAATAGCATTTGCAAACAATGTACAAGTACATTCGTGTGATCTGATAATAAGTTTGTTAGGGCTCAATTGCAGAATACCCCGCCACCCCGCATTATCAACCTCATAGCCAGTGTCACACTCTTCTCAGTCATTTATTTTAGAGTGGCTGGGTATTCTGCAATTTAAGTTAGCATTGTTACGCCCCAACTGTAGCATCAGTCCCAACTACGTAGAGTGCTATAGTTGGGCCAGCCCAACTACAGCACAGTGGTCCAGTGTGCATGTGCCCAGCTTGTGCCAAAGTCGTATTGTTTACAATGTCATGTCATAGATGATGTGCCATATTTTAGATGAATTGTGTCAAGTATGAGATACATAACTTGGACAAGGTTGAGAAATTGGTCAACAGTTGTTAGGCCAGCCCAACTGCAGCACTGCAGTTGAGCCTTTCCCAGCTACAGTTGGGACAGATACGATAGTTAGGGCGTAACAGCAGCATTGGCATATTATCAAGTTTTAAAATACAAATGTACATGTAATAAGCAAATTACAAACGTATTGTCAATATGATAAACACATTATCCAGTGGTACTGAACTAAAAGTGGTTGGGACATTTTGCATAAGTGTAAATTGTCATGGGCCAAGATTATTTTGATCTATTATGGGGACAGATGGACAAATGGCTGTGCATACGTGTGGATGAGGCACTGTATCATTTTCATTTTATTTTTGGAAAGGATTTTTTCTCAGGCTAAAGTATTTTGAAATATTTGGAGGATTTCCTCTATAAATGTAGTATTCAGAAATTGTTCTAGAGAGAGTTCTGTAATGTAGGGATAACATTTGATGCCCCTGTTCACAAACCTACAGTATGAGAGTTGTCTGAAAAAAACCTCAGTGTTTTCTATAAAGTAAATGCGTTGGAATTTTCTGAGCTAACCTTCACTTTTTAGGATATGTTATCACTTTCTGACAGTGTTGTCCGTATGTGGAACACTTCCCAGATCTTTTCATCAGTGGGTCATGAAGTTTTTAAAAAGTATTTCTAACAGTACTTCAAACTACTGGTAATTTCTCCGAGTCAGTGTTACTCTTAATGAACAAATGTTTTGTGATTCGACCTGTGTTAAGGAGAGGTCACTGAGATATGCATCTTTTGGATTGTGACTGCTCTCAGAAATACGAGAGTGCCTTGAACTTTTCAAAAGTCTGGGTCACGAAATGGAGTATCACAGTTTTGTGTCTTTGTTGGCATTGTGAAACTTTACAGGGCACCTTCCAAAAAAGCACTCAAGAAACAGCAGAAGGAAGCCGAGAAGGCAGCCAAGAAGGCCGAGCGTCAGGCACAACAGGTAAAAAACAAGTGGCTATGCCACAGCTTTCTGAACCAGGCTCATGCAGTCCAGGGCTTTATTCTGTCATTTGGCGCATCGCTGAAATCCTCCAAAATCCAGTGCTTGGTCTGTGACTTGTCCAACTCAGTTAAGTCATTCATGTATGAAATTTCACAATCATTTTGTGGTCATGCAGAACACCTATATGTAGGTACAATAATTCTGGCTGAGAAGGGGTTTATGAAATTTTTCTCACCCATCTCTATATGTAGGTAATTTAATCCACAGTTTACTTGATTGAAGAAGACTAAGAGAAAATTCTGACATCAGGGCTTCCTGGGTTGAAATGATCACTTTCCCGACTACAGCATGTGACATGCATGTAAAATACCCATAAATGGTCCACACTGAGGGTTCCGAAAGCTCACCTCTTGACCATATACATGTACATGTACTTTCAGGCTCTGTTGTAATAATACCAGACATTTGTATGATGCTCTACAAAGAACACAGGGTCTCAAAAAAATGAAAAAAAAAAGTTTTTGAAAAAAAAATCAGATGAAAACTTCAACAAAAACAGCAATAACGTAATCATACTTTGGAAAATTATTGTCCTTTGAGTAGGCGCTTGAAGAACACAGCAGAGGCCGTTTTCCTCATATCGATCGGTAGTTGATTCTACAATTTCGGAGCAAAAATAGAAATAGAAGTATCTCCAACCTTCTTGTTGGAGTGAGGAACAACCAGCTGGATGACATCAGGTCTTGCTTCCCATAATCCAGTGGGGCACGGCCATCTCTTAGCCATAAACAATGCGTAGTTTTGGTCATTGTCCATGCCACAAAAGTGTCAACAAAATCTTTATTTCATTTGTCAAGTTTCTGGTGAAGAGCTTTCCTTGAAGCCAAGACATGTACTTGTTGGCCCTAAATATTCTACAGAATGGAATGTAAAGTGGTTCTTTGTTCTTTCAGGCAGCTGACGCTGAGGCTGCAGAGGGCGAGGATTATGCCAAGGACCGCTATGGAGTGGCTCGCATGATCCAATCCCACGAAAAACCAGGTACTGATGAGAGCATCGTGCCTATAGTTTACAAGAGGAAGTCATCATAAGTATCGAAAGCGTGGACGGAATTTACCAGCTCTTTTTGGCTCAAGGAATTGCTTCCGAATCTTCTTGATCCGTATGCGGCACTCGTTTTGAGGCAGTTTGAGTAATGGCATATTCCGTCCAGTCGCTCATATATTGAGTTGTACCCATTCCAACGAAAGGAGGAAGAAAATACAGCATGCATGTCTGCACATGTGCGTGGTGGTCTACCTTGTTGAGTTTCAGAACGTGGGTGCGTGGTAGTCCAACTTATGTTCACGGTCCTAATTGGCAAATTTTTTTTTAGTACCTCAGCCCCAGTGAGATTACACACCCCAAAAAGGGAACTTGAAATGAGAGTTTTTTTAGCTAATATTTTTAAGCATATGCATTAGCTGCCCTTCAGTTTGCTCATAACACCTTGAAATACCCAATGAGTGAATTAAAATGCGTTTTTGTAACTAAAGAATTGACTTGTTTCCGGTTTTTGCTGCATGCATTATTCCCCTCGAAAGAATATTCAATTTCAAAAATAGATTGATCTAATATTTGCTACAGCCCTGTGCTGCTTGAATTACAATAGTCAAATGAGCTTCAAACCCTTTGCGAAGCAATAATGACTTTTGCCCGGTACAATCCCTGAAGCATTCCAAGATCTGATGGATTTTAAAGGATTCAGGAGGGTTAGTGTTACTTATAAGTTACTTTTACCAGTCGCTAATGGAGATCAGCAAGTTGGTGTCTATATTTTTGTGGTACTTTGTGCTGAAGTTGCATTTTGTTGTATTAGGGTAATAGTGAAATCATGAAGGTTTCTAAGGATATTCTGCAAAAACTTTCAGCTGCAAACAATTTTTGTTCATCCACAGAAAAAAAATAACGCGTGTTTTGTTTTGTGGCTCCCTTTAGATCGGAAGTTGGTGAAAGTGGGTTCGCTGACCTCTGCCCTCTCCGACCAGACGGTGTGGGTGCGTGCTAGGCTACACACCGCCAGAGGAAAAGGTACAGTCTGGACATCCTGTGACCCGACTTGAGTTTGCCCGCGCACGTTTGGTGGCCATTATGGGCATCAGCAGTCCTGTACTTGTATTCTGCCACATTGAATGTCGCTGTTTTTCAAGTGTAAATCGTACCCTGTATGTCATGTGCTTGTACATTCTTTGAAAGAGTCAACCTTTTCGGTCATGTCCAATGTAAAACGACACAAAAACATGTTTTTAAAACAGTCGACACCTGGCAGTTCTTACCAAGAAAATGACAGCACCCGAGAAACAAATAAACAGTGAAGTGCACGTAAATGTCTCCATGTGGAGTTGAGTTGTTGACATTTCACGTAAAAAGGAAACGGACTGAAATTACTTCACTTGTATTTTTGTATATTCTTATTTATCTTTTGAATCACTTGATTTTTTTTTTTCGACAGGCAAGCAGTGCTTTGTAGTTCTACGTCAACAGCAATTTACTGTTCAGGGAATTTTGAATGTTAACGAGACAATCAGCAAAGCTATGATCAAATTTGTCAGTGGGTGAGTTGATGTTGGTCTGTCCTTCCGAGTTTCAACGAGTTCAAAGTGGAACACTTTGATGCTTTTAACAATTGACATGTAAATGCTGAGCAGTGGTTGACTTGTGAGCCCTTGAATCATTAGTCACGATGACGTAAATTTGGCAATTTCAAAATCTTTTTTGAATATCTGTTAGGTTGGAATGTTTCTTTTCGCACTGGAGCTCAGTGATTGGGAAAACTATTGAGATCCCTTTTCTTGAAATTCACTGTGTTCCAACAAGAAGCAGGCTGTTCTGAGTTTAGCATATAGAGGCACCAACCACTGCTCTTGGAATGTTTTTCCGACTTGGGACAATGGGTATGAAGCAGTCATATCTCGTGAAATTTAGAATAGGTTACTATGGTTTCCGGCCAGAATATTGGCAGGGTTTTATATGGGTATTGACTGGGTCCCAGCTGGTAGTTGCTTTAAGTGGAGAAATTTGCCGGGCAAACTTGTCTTCTTCAAAGCTCATAGAGACAGCCCCCAATTTAACGGAAAGTGTACTATTCTCTGTGTTTTTTTTTATTCCAGCACGACTAAGGAATCGATTGTGGATGTTGAAGGCATTGTCGCTGTCGTGCCACAAAAGATCGAAAGCTGCACCCAGCAAGATGTGGAACTACGCATACAAAGGGTGACTACTCCCAAACTTGCTGTTCTCCAGAATCTTTTGAAAAGTTAGAACTTGGAGCTGCTTTTTCACCTGTCCCTGCTTACATGCACCACATTTTATGGAGAATCTAGCCAGTACTGAAGTCCTGGCCCAGTGGTTAGGTTTCATAACTCTGAATCACAGGTGTCGTTTCGGCCTGGCTTGCCTCTCTCCACCCAGGGGTATAGAGGGGTATCCCCGAGGGCTTAGGGGGTGATTTGTGATCAATTATGCTTGCGCCTAAAATGGTTGCACCAATTGGTTGTATGTTCTCCGTAGAGTTGAGATTGTTCATAGGCATGTCTCTGGGCCTGTATAGCAGGGGCAAAATTGCCAGGTACTGGAATGCACGATATAAATGGGTCATTCCATGAGGTTGGGACACAATTCGTGACGGTGTCCATTGTAAAATGGGTTCCATCAAACTGAAATGCTATTTCCCTGCATGTGGATTCCAAATTATACATCTTGCAAGGCTGAATACAGAGGTGTGTGTGTTATTTTTCCAGAGTAAATGACCTACTCTACAGGTCATGACAGGTGGTAAAAGTTACCCATGTAACAGGGACACCGTCACAAATTGTGCCCCAACCTCATGGAAGGACCCAAATGCATCATTTATGAGGTTGTTATCTTCTATGATTTTGTTATGTTTGTTATCATTTGTTAAATATTTACTAATAGGTCATTTGGGAGACATTTAGTGGTGATTTTTTCAGCATTAGGGAGACATTGGCTTTTAGGGAGACATTTCAGTGTCTCCCTATTTTCAAACTACCAGAAGGAGGCCGAATTTTACCAGCCAAAGTTTGAAAGATGATAGATTAGGGTCTAAAATGAAAACATACAAAGTTTGGTTCAGATCAGATTAGGGAATATTGAATTATGGGACAGTAAAGTTGGAAAAATTTTGTGCACGTTCTTATGGGAATGTCTCCCTTGTGACCCATTAGTGGTAATTATAACCACATTTAAGGCTATGAGCAATAGGAAAAACAATGAGAAAGGAATGCCTTCGTCATTGTTCTTTTAAATGTTTCATACCTCTGTCGTAATTCTGTTTTTTCATCGGCACAGACTGATCACGTGACAGGGCAACAAAAATGCATTTCACACTCACCATTAGACCTCATATCAGTTGACTTGGTATGATATCATGCGCATGCGTCCTGTGTACAGGATGCTGCAGGGACCGCTGACTGCTAATGTTCAAAGATTCCTTTGCTGCACTTAACTTCCCTCAGAAAAGCAAATGAAAAAAACATCAAGGCATCAACTAACATCAATTATGACAAAACAACTGTTGACTTTGCCTCAGGTGCTGTGAGTCCTTTGGGTGTTCAAAATGTCATATCCCACATCACAGCAGTCAACAATCATTAAATGTTGCATTTTGATGAAGGTGGCAAGTTGAGGACTTGAGATTATTTTCATTGGACTTGACTGAAACATTGCATTGGGCAAAGCTGTACCATCCTGATTCCCTTCAAATCCTCCCAAATGTGGATTCGAGGGACTATGGAAACTTAGGTTTTCATGAAATTCTTCAATGTTTGCGCGACAGTTTTACGTGGTCAGCCAGTCGGCGCCCCGCCTCCCACTCCAAATTGAGGACGCCTCCCGGCCCAAGGGGGAAGAGGAAGATGGCGTCCAGGCCCCGACGGTCAATCAGGACACCCGGCTGGACAATCGCATTCTGGACCTCAGGGTGAGTTGGCCGCTTGACCTGGACAAGGCCGGTATGGTCGCCTGTGCCACTTTTCGCTTTGCACTGCCCCAAATTAAGTTATCTCCATGGGTTGTTTGGCGGCAGCAACTTACGGTTTTTGACATTGAAATTTCACAGATCGGCAGCTTTGTAAGAAAAAAGGTTTATTCTAAGCACAACTTCAAACTTATTTTGTCACTTTTCGCAGTTTTGTGACATAAATGTAGATCCTTTACATTGCAGTTTCTTTGTTATCTGTGGAAAGCACATGAACAATCTCACGAATCAGAAATTCAGAGTGCAGGTGCATTTTGCAAAGTTCTTGTTTAACACAATTGGAGGTGAATCATCGGTGTGGATTAATAATGTGTTATCTGCAAGCAGTTGTGCTACCTAATCTGGTAATGGCAGCCTTGAAATGATAAGCTGTACCTCTGCCAAGTTTGCCGAGAAATTTGTGCTTTTTTGTAATAGGTGATTTTTCTTATCATACGTGATAAACGAATTGTTCATTTTGGCACTTTAACTGAAATTCAACTCTGCTTATTCCCCATATCGGCACATTTCTTGCACTCACACTAGTAAAAAAACATGCTTACATGTACTTGCTTGTTTTCCAGTGTACCCCAGTTCAATTCTTTGTAAATTAAATATCTTGAAACGGATCGTAGTGTGAAGCAAATAAAAATCATGAGTTCAGGTCCTCTTTTGTGGACAGTCTACCCTGTTGGTTGTGAATATGGGTTACACATGAACCAAAGCCAATAGAAACCAAAAATGGAAGCAAGATCTCATGAGGATTTTGTTTCCAAGAATGGTGTGATGTGGAGACAAATTCTGCAATTACCGCTATCATTTTTGTAGTATTTTCAACCTGAATTTGTTTTTTTTTCTTTTGTTTCAACAGACTCAGACTAACCAAGCCATTTTCCGGTTGGAGGCCGGCGTGTGCCAACTCTTCAGGGAGGCTCTCAGGAAACGTGACTTTGTCGAGATTCACACCCCAAAGATCATTTCTGGTAAATCAACTGAGTTTTTCGAATCTGGAGGGAATCGAAAGGCTTATGTATGTAAATGAAAACTTTGGAAGGAATGATCATTTGAGAAAAGTGGGTCTCTGGTCATCATTGATGGGCTTATATTTCGGGATTTTTAAGTTTTAGGAAATATTTGTCCTCCATTTTGAAAGTGAACTTGTAGACTTAAGTTTTTGGAATTTTTCTCTACCGTTTTCAAGATCTGCATTTGAATAATTTCTGATAAGGTCTCCGTTCTATGAGCCCACCTTTATGTCAACAATGCCCTAAAGAATAAAACCACGTAGAAAAATGTTAGTGCTAAAAGTTAACCAAACTAGAATTAAGAAAGAAATCAGAGTTAATGCACATTTTAAGTTGACCAATTACAGGGCAAAAGAGAAAAACTCTTGGAAGGAGACGGCCCACGCCATGTATTGGGAAAGGGGGAAGACGGGTTGACTGTTGAAAGTAGAAAGAGGAAACGGAGTTTGTTACTTTAATTCATTACCACGTTAGGCATCCCAGTCAAAACTTCTGAACCTGTGAGTAAAATTCTGAGGTCTCTATTGGATGTGTACTTTGTGTTTCAGAGAGATAGGGCCAAAGCCGTTATTAAACTTAACATCTCCCCGGCGCAAAGTACATCTTGAAATAGTTTGCAGTACCCGCTGCTGCATCTGACCCTGACTGGCCTGCAGACCGGCGGTCAAGACATCTGCACTAGCAAGCAGGAGGTCGTGGGTTCGAGTCCCACCCAAGTATAAAGCTTGTGAATTTTTTTTTCAGAAACTCTCGGAGAAACACTGAGCATACAGTGTCATGAATATACGTCGATTTTAGGGCAGAACCAGTTTTAAAAATCGGTATCTATTGATTTTGAGCAATACATCTAAATGCCTTGAACTCAAAAGTGGCCTCTGGTGACTTTCAATTGATTTTGCTTGGTTAGGGGGTGACGGTTCAGGAGACCAGTATTCCAGCACCATCCCCCCAGTGTGTACTCAAGCGTGTCACTTGATATCTGTTCCCTCCACAGCCGCCAGCGAGGGTGGTGCTAACGTCTTCGCTGTCTCTTACTTCAAAACCAGTGCCTACCTCGCCCAGTCGCCTCAGCTGTACAAGCAGATGGCCATAGCCGCCGACTTCAGCCGGGTCTTCACCGTCGGAGCTGGTAGGCATGGGCCTGGGTTAATGCTCCACTGGCCAGCTGAGGCAGGCCAATCTTACAGAGTTGCTGAGCACAAATATTCAGGAAGGCAAGAAAATGTTGGCCGAGCAAACTACCAGTTAATATTGTCATGCATAGTATATTACTCATGACTGGTTCCCATCTGGGGTTCCACCAATGATGAGAATATGTGCCCGTTCTGCCTGTCCACCCTCGGCAAAAATTCTGAAACTGACATGATCTGAGCCCAAATATCCGATGTATCCAGTGGATTGGATAGAAATCTAAAGACTCATTCACTGGCGCCGAAAATTGTGTAATAAATGGGAGTTTTTGTAATGTTTGTACAAGCAGAAACTGCCTGTCTTTGCCAGTCCTCCGGACAGGTGGCCATATGAGTCTCAGCTCGATGAGTCTCCCATTGAGTTTTGCCCTGTACATGTACATTTACACGTATAAATTTGCTACTTTGACAGTTATTTTGATTGAGCAGTTCCGTGCAATTAGGCCCAAAGCTCAATAACCCTTGCTGCACAGGAGAATCGGCTAAACTGTTCCAAATTTGCTTAATTGTTTGGGGTTTGAATAGAAGCAAGGGCTGTCTACAGTTATCAAGCGTTGGTGTCCACCTCATCTTTGGCCCAGCAGAAGGGCATTTAGGCAATTTGTATTCCCATACAACGGGCCTAATACAAATGGCTGAATTATATCTTTTAGCTAAGCAGCAGACAACCAGGTTTCTGTCATGTGTGAAGCCCTTTCATTGGTCAGTCTTCATTCCTTACACAACTCCGAAAATTATATCTTTTACCATAGCAAGTCTGTTGTGCTTTACTTTGATTGTAAGCAGGCTTCCAAAGCTACAGTGGTGTCTGCATGTGTCCACGTCTTTGCGGCTTTCAAAGACCTAGGGCTTGCTCTGGACACAAGGCTTAGATGCAGCCTTATTTGTTCTAGTCTTTCCTTCTGTAATCTCAGTTTATTTTGTGATTGTCACAGTCTTCAGGGCTGAGGATTCCAACACCCATCGTCATCTGTGCGAGTTCGTCGGGCTGGACTTAGAGATGGCCTTTGACTATCACTATCACGAGGTGAATTCCTACGACATGACCTGTGACCTTTCGTTGACCCGTGACCTTTTCAACATGTATATCTTTCCTATTCTAATTCAGTCAATGTCACCATTTTGAACACTCTTAAGACGTACGCCATCTCAGTTTGTGGGTTTTCTCCATCGATAGGTTTTGGATGTAATTGGTGGAATGTTCACCGACATCTTCCGTGGACTCCGCGACCGCTTTGCCACTGAGATCACCACTGTCAACAAGCAGTTTCCGGCCGAGCCTTTCAAGTTCCTGGAGCCAGCACTCCGTCTGGAGTTCCCGGAAGCTGTCAAGATGCTAAGAGAGGCAGGAGTGGAAATGGGAGATGAAGATGACCTCAGGTATTAGTCAGATTCCCATTTCATGATTTCTTTCAAACTCTGGTGCATGACTTCTGTGCGGATTGCTGTCAGTTGGTCCGTTTGTCGATTGCTGCGGGTTTGTCCGTCTGTTCTGGTCAGTTTGTCTGTCCGTTGATTGCTGTTATTTTCTGTTGCTTTCTGTTGCTGAGGATTGAGTGAAAAATATAATTATTGCGAAATGTAGTGATGAGTTTCCTTCATGTTGTTCCACAGCACCCCGAACGAGAAGCTACTTGGGCGTTTGGTGAGGGCAAAATATGACACCGACTTCTATATTCTGGATAAATACCCACTAGCTGTGCGACCCTTCTATACAATGCCGGATCCCAATGACCCTGTAAGTGGGGACAGTCATGTAGATTGCAGCCTGGCAGCTGTTTTTGTTTTGTTTTTTTCTCCTCGGATGATTTCCGAGCACTGTACCTTGCTGTCAAAGAAGGGGTTTGCAGATTGTCTTGAGAAAGGTTTAACAGAGGTTAATATTTATATGAATAGAGATCTAAGTATTAGAATGTTGTTGAATACGGTGAATGTTGTCTGGTCATTTATTGCTGGGTTCCTGCGAAGATTAAGTGGATGGATATTGATGAGGGGATTTCTAAGGTCAATCGAGCGTGAACCATGTTTCAGTGTTTGTTTGAGTTATGCCATGTAAGCATTCTCATCAAATGTGCCTTTGTGGCCCTGCAGAAATACTCCAACTCGTACGACATGTTCATGAGGGGAGAGGAGATCCTGTCTGGAGCCCAACGGATCCACGACCCGGAATTCCTGTCGGAGAGAGCCAGGCACCATGGGATAGGTAATGTTTAGGCGCAGTCTTCAGGCAGGAACATTTTCCTTCGTGCAGGATTCTCAGGATTTGTTTTGAGATGACTCGGTCTGATGTGTTCAAGGGAGGATCTAAACCAAATTTTATTGGGGGGGAATTCAGAAATTTTTTTATGTAACCTTTTATTTAGGGCCTTTCCGAGGGATGAGGCTTAATTTGGGGAGTTTCTATTCTTTGGGGAAAAGGGAAAATGAAATGGTGCCCCAAAGCTGCCTTTTTCTCATTCAGAAATAAAAAGAGTTTTTCTCTTCTTCAAAGGGTGGCCCCCTTTGTCCCTGCTTGGATTCACAGATGCTTGTTTTTGGTAACAAGGTGTCTAATGTGTGCTGGGTTAAAAAAACACGGTTTGGGGAGAGGTATCACCAGCCAAATCATGCATTTCAAATAGGTACATACGATGTATGTTATCACCTGGCAGTGCACCATGGCTGTACAGAATGGGTCGTTTTTGTATTTGAACAATGTATACAGTCTCACCACTGCTCACAGTC